CAACCCACTCTTTTTTCACTGGGTGCTCTGTCTCCCTATCTCACACCCCAGCACCTCCCACAGTGAACAGGGTGGTTACAGCTATAAAAGAGGTTGGACACAGTGAGAGAAACTGGACCTCAGTGCTAAAAATATAACACACGGTGCTAGAATAAATACTGTTGGAGAGTGCAAGCTAGTTGTCTGTGTTTTTGTGTAAAAAATGTTCATCCATGGCTCATGAGGGCCATACTGCGGCACTCACACTTTAGTCTGTGTTCGTATCATAGCAACAACATATAAGTCCACCTTTTTCTATGAGCATGTGTCCAAAGAGATGCACACACTGTCTGCATTTTGTTTAATAGGTATAGTCCAGTCATTTTTAAAGGGATGTTCTGTCACGTAAATGGACTGTACTTATATAGCGTCTTTCCATCTATTCAAGACACTCAAAGCGCTTTACAACACAATCTGTGTCCTCATTTACCCATTCATACAGCACTCTACTAGATCTCTACAAAGCTATCAGAACAAATCATTCTAAATAGACGAATCAGTGCTTTATCACATTCATACACCAATGGGACACACGGAGGGGTTCAGTGTCTTGTCCAGAGAAACTTCGGCATGTGATTGCTGGTGGATTCGAACCCCTAACTCTTGCATTGGAGGATGACTGCTCTAACCACTCAGCCACAGCCGCCCAGTAGAGCCAAATCAGGCTTGAGCATGGAGTTGGGAGAAAAAGACAAAGGTCTTCCATTCAGAGTAAGCTATAACTGAACGAGATCCTCTTTTGTTTTATGACATACCGTTGAAAACAATGTGTGGAATTAAACCTTTACACTTCTACCTGACACATTTAGTTTAGTTTGTGGCTATATATATATATATATATATATATATACACATATATATATATATATGCACGTGTGTGTGTATGTATGTATGTACTGTATATGTGTGCTGAGCATAAAGCAGTAGTGATTGTTTTATTTTATTATTTACAGCATCTTAGAAGTCAAGGGTTAAGCTCATTTTAATTGCAAGCATGTCCAACATGTTGCATTAGTCCTTTTATCACCTGCCGCCATGAAAAACAGGTCGTTTTCTAATTGCCTGGTCCTTTGTGTGTTTGTGTTGCTTTGTCTGTCCACCCTGGCAGCTTGACTCCGCAGTAAATCCTTCACACAATGTCCTACAAAACATGAAACAGCTCACCTGCTGCTGGCTGCTGTGGTATTTCAGTGGTGCACGTGAATGCATGCTCTATTTAGAAGTTTGCCCCATCACCCCTCTTCAGAAAATAGTAGAGGAGGAAGAAAAGAGGAGCACGCTCTGCTGTGTCGTACACGACCGCTGACAGAGGCAGTGAGGGAGACAGAGTGTGAAAGGACAGTTGTGATTAATGTGGAGCCAGTGTGGACCCAAGAATATCTCCCAACTGCCCTCCATCTTAGCTAATGTGACCTGCCATATGGGTCAACCATTATAGTGTGGGATATTATTTCAGTGCAGTAATATGAGAATAAAACTAACTTGCTCCAGAGCAGGTTTGATTTCCACACTTTTCAATGCATCACCTCTTAACCAATCACTGTCTTTAAAATTAAAACTGCACTCATGTGTAACTGTTGAAGTCTCTTGTTTATTCAGTTTCCCTAATTTACATGAATACATTTTCACTATCACTAAGTGTCTGTGTGAGATATATCCAATTCATAGATAGATAAATAGATTTATAACTGGCTGTGATTATCGTACCCACCACTGCACCCTGTATTCATTGGGTAACTGGTCATTATTAACTTCACGCTGACTCTCTCACTGGTACATGTTCATCTTTAAATCACTTCTTGGTCTGTTGCCTTCAAACATCTCCTCCTACATTTTTTCATTCATTCATTCAACCTTTATTTAAACAGATCAATCACATTGAGCCTTGAAGACTCATTTACAAGTGAGACCTGTTTGGACAGACAAAAACTGTGGTTAACTGGACACATGTAGGAGTTGGAGGCAAAAAAAATTCCTATCAGACTTTTTTTCTTGCCTGAGAAAAAAACCCTCTAATATAAAAAAAAAAAACTTGCACAAACAAGCACATATTTACTTAGACATTCCGCAATCGAAGATGAGAGCGGTCAACAACGCTGATAGATGCTCTCGAGGTCACTAATCAGTCAATGTCCTCCCGTGAGATCCATAAACATTCTCGAGGTATGTCGAGGAAGGGCCAAGGATAACATCTATGAGAATCCAAGAGTCCTGAAATGATGACACAAGTTTATTCAGCTGGTTCGTCTGGTTATCAGTTGGAAATTCCTCAGGGAGGGGGTGGTGAGCATCAGATCACATTTTTTTCCAGGCGAATTCAGATAAGGTGGCCTTCAAGACCAGTCGAGGGAACCAAAATTTAGATAAACACACAGTTGTTTTGGGGACAGGCAGAACTTAATGACATCTACCTTGAGTCTGTGTTGGTCAACTCGGTTCCGAAATGTCCGTATTAAATGGCCACACCGATGGAACGTGATTGAGTAAAATCCCCAAGATCTGATCCATTCAGCCCAAAGCATTTGAGTCCGGGTACACGAGACACGAACCAAGCCATCAAAAAGGCAAGCAGCGTGATCGGGTCCAAATTTGCTGCCGACGACTTCCTTGATTGCAGATAAAACCAACCAGCCGAATCAAAAAGTAGGAACCAGTTATCGAAAACCCTATTAAATATGCGTCCTTAAAATCCACAGATAGCAGCAGAGATAGACACATCATCAAGTCTTCCAAGTCAATGAGATATCCAGCTGCGTGCGTGCCAACAGGGCAAATCGGCTCGCCTAAAGCCAGTCTTCTTTTCGAAGAAATGTTGTAAATTGAGTTGAGGGACCAACTGGTCTAAACAGTCCATAATTATGGTTAGGAAGAAATGCAAGAGAGTCTCGCAGCAATTTCACAGACAGAGCAGCAAAGCAAAGAGGAGAGGGAGGGAAGCATCCAATCTTTTCGAGAGGAAGTGGTGAAGTGTCTCTGCATGAGTGCAGCTACAGCGTGCACTCTCAGGACATTATTACCTGCAGTGTTCCCTCAGTGCGGACTGAACTTGGCAAAAGGGCTTTCTCCTACTCTGCTCCTGTTTCTTAGAATATCTTGCAAAAAGATCTGAAGCTCTCGACCTTGACCTCTCTAAGTGGCTTTAAGAATCTGTTGGACTCCTGGCAAGAACCAATGCAGACATGTTTCTGTTTTTAGTTTTCTACATTCACCTTATAATCTAGTTGTTTTGTTAAGATGGCAAAAAGAATATTTGTAAAAAAAAAAAAAAAATGTGTATGCCTTTTTATATTTGTCTATTGTTGTCGCTGTTGTCATCATTCTTTGTTGAAATCAGGTCTCTCTTGTAAATGAGTCCTCGGGGCTCAATGGGATTTACCTGTCTAAATACATTTTGAATGAAAAAAAATTGAATATCTTAAAACATCCATCCATTATCTTTACCCGCTTCTTTTTGGGTTGCGGGGTCACTGGTGCCCATGTCCATCAGTCACTGTGGGAGAGGCAGGGGCCACCCTGGACAGGTCACAAGTCCATCACAGACACATAGAGATAATCATTCACACCTAGGGGCAATTTAGAATTATCAGTCAGCTCAACATGCATGATTTCATCCTGTGCGCTGAAACCAGAATACCTGGAGAAAAGCCACACATGCACAGGGAGAACTGCAAACTCCTCACAGAAATGTCCCCAGCTGGGATTCAATCCAGGAACTTTTTCACTGAGATGCAACAACTCTGCCAACTGTGCCAGCTTGTCAAGCTCAAAACAGATATGTAAAAAAGAAATAAAAAAATATAAACTCAACAAACTTTTATGTTGTAAATGGAAGTTTATGATAATTTTCTAAGGATTGTAAAAGGTTTTCAAAACAAAATACATATATGTATGAGTCAAACACTTTTAATGAAATAAAATTACCTCAGTTAAGTTCGGTGGACTCACTTTTGTTTTTGGTCCTCATATTGTGCAAAAAAAATGTGAAACAGCCTCTTTTAAATCACTGGGATTGCATTAGAACATGGGTCACATCTTAACGAGTTGGCACCTCAGCAGGTTAATTCAATGAAAATAGTATTTATCTAATGGTTTGATAAAGTTAATAGGCCTATTTAGTTTATCAGTTCAACTGCTTTTTTGCCACATTTTCATTGTGCTCCATTTTTGAGATTGCTTCTCTCATAAGGGCTCTATATGTTTTACACAAACATGCACACACCCACAGACAGAAACCTTTTGTGGACCTATAACCAGCTATGTAGCACCACTAAGCACAATCTTCATCACAAAGCTAGTATCTCTCAAAACTTCATTTGAGATGGAGTTTTCCTCTCAAACGGAGATGTTTGGAGATGAAATGTTTCAAAAGGTTTTGAAACATCTACGAGCATCCTCAGTTTTCCCAGGTCTATTTTTTTTTCATGTGAGGGTTTGTGTAACACATTTTCTCTAAAGACTCGGGAAATTTGTTGCAGGGGTCAAAAACTCATCTCAAACCGTACTCCTGTTTTTGTAACTCTATACGACTAAAGCAGTATTTTTTTGTAGATATGTATAAAAACAAATGGTGAGTTTTGGCCCAAATTGGCTGGACATGTATGTAAACGTGTTGTTCAGTGTGATTTCAAGGGATGATTCGTACATGTTCTTACAATTTTATGTCTCCAATAAGTTCCCAACAGTTGTGAGCAGTGAGTTTAGTGATAGTCAAGACATATTTCTAGAAATGTTGAAACTGCATTTTTTGTTTTTTGTTATTACTTAATTTAAATAAAATTTTGTAGGCCATGCATTCACTTTTTGCAATCATCTGATGTCATTTATATTTTACTTCTACTTCTCTTCCCCACACTTTATCCCATTTCTCATTCCTCCAGTTATCCGTTTTTATCTTTTTCTTACCTGTCTCCTTTCCATGTCATCTCCTATATCTTAACATTCTCCAATGTTTGTTCTCTCAGGTACATGATGAACGTTACATGGGATGGCAGAGACTTGTCGTTCACAGAGGACGGCTACCAGGAAAACCCAAAGCTGGTTGTCATTGTCCTCAACAAGGAAAGAGAGTGGGAAAAGGTAGGATATGGTTTTTATCTGGATTAGTTTGTTTGTTGGATAAAGATGTTTCACAGTCTACAATTCAGCATTCAAGTCATCACTACAGTAGTACAGTGTGTCGAGTTATTCTAAATTTATAAACAATAGTTTTCTTTAAGGATAAGGACTTATCTTAGTAAACTTGTTCAAACTGATTGGGGGTGGGGGGGGCTGTTAGGAGCTGCAAGCAAACAGTGATAAACAGCACCTCATATTGGATCAACCAGTTTGTTGGTGAAAGCCAAAACTAGTTGTTCACATGCAAAAGGAGGATCATCAGCCTAAAAATAGGTCATTTTAGAGTGATCCTTGTATAGATCATGCAAGGATCACTCAGAGGGCTGAGTGATCTTTGCAATAACAGCCCTGCAAGAGGCAGAGACAGTTGAAGAGATGGACGAACACAGAGACCTCCACCCCATTTAACGATGGACGGGATCTCTTCACAAAGATGGCTTCCTTCACTCCTCTCTCAAACCATCGTTCCTCTCTATCCAGGATGTGAACATCTTCATCCCTGAAAGAGTGACCGCTGGCCTGGAGATGAGTGTAGACCGCAGAGTCCTGGCCTGATGATGTTGCTCTTCTGTGCTGAGCCATCCTTTTGGCCAGTGGCTGTTTAGTTTCCCCGATGTAAGACTGATCACCCTCCTGACACTGAACAGCATACACAATATTACTCTGTTTGTGTTGGGGAACTGGATCTTTGGGATTAACCAGTCTTTGCCATAATGTATTTTGGGGTTTAAAAGCCACTGGGACGTTATGTTTAGAAAATAAACGTCTCTGTTTCTCTGAAACTCCCACAACATGCAGACTGACCACTGGTCTGTGTCTGGGTTTAGGGTCCTACTTTCCATCCGGTGGCTGGCTGGAGTCCTGTTTGTGTTTCTTACATGCTTTCAAGTAGGCCCAGTTAGGATATTCACATTGCTCCTGGGCCTGTCTTGTATGGATTATCACTCAGCCCTCTGTCAATAGCAAGCGGCCATCAGGGCACTAACGATTGGACATTAAGCTGATGGTCCTCCTTTTGCATATGAACAACTAGTTTTGGCTGTCACCAGCAGACTGGTTGATCCACTATAAGAAGATTCTTCTTATAGTTTGTTGCAGTGCCTCAGACCTAAGAAGTACTTTCAATAAAAGATTAAACATTTCAACAAAGCAGAATCCATCTAGAGGACCTGACCCAACCTTGTTAGATTTATCTGCCTGGATTATTGAGCATGTGGAACATGTTTCATTTTATGGACTTAACCAAACTGTAGCTGAGAGATGTCAACAACAGAAGCAATAACGTGTTAAAGTGCAGTATGTATTGTATATAAAAGGATCAAACTATTCCGGAAAATAACTCTTGAATTTAAAGGCCTCAAGCACAAATTTGTTTTATGTGATAAATATTTTTGTGTTTTTTTTACAATATTAATTTGCCTCTCCACAATATGGATTCAAAAGTAGGCACACCCTTTCAAAGTTCTTTTCACACTCCTCTCAATTTTTCGATAAATGGAAACTTATAGATGAATTTCAGATGGTTTCAATAAATCTAATACCACTTTGTGTGTAACATTGTTCCTCAATTTTTGACCTCTGATTCGTGCAAGGATAATTTAACTAAATTTTGTTAATACCATTTGCAATCTGTTGCCAATGTTTGCAGCTCAGTGGAAACTAACTTTACAGAGCCTATGGGTTGTGACCTATTGAGGTTTTTAATTTTGACATTTTACTGCAGTCACATTTTTAGACAAATATACCACATGACAGAAGAAGCAGAATCTTCGAATAGGAGCGAATATAATCATTTACACTTTCAAGACTTGTATATTTTTTTAAATAACAGCTTGTCATAGGAATATTCAATGCTATCTTTTTTTCAAAATACAAACAAAAAAACCTTCAGATTTGGTCCCTAATGGCCATCCAAACACACTTTAAAGTGTTGTGTTTTTTTACTTCTTTAGTAATAATTTTAAAGGTCTGTTGTTTACGACAGCATTATCAATATATGAAGTTATTTATTAGTTTATTGTGCATATTTTGTTAGATGCAACAAAGTAGCAAAATATTGTGCTGACCTCAGTATTGGTTTCAGTTAAAACAAAATAAAAACAAAAATAAGCTTTTCAAAAAAGTACACACAATTCTTAAGCTACAAGTCCTTTCTGAAGTACAAATTTACTGAACACAGAGTTTGAAAAACTAAATGTTGATTTATGAGCCCATTTGAAAACAAGCTCATGGATTTCTTTAAATGGTAAATGTGAGGAATCTTTTGGAAATAGTACTCTGGATGTTGTAATGGACTTTAAATGAAGGTTATGCATCTTTATAGGTGCATTTGGCTGCCTCACACTTGCCCACATAGCTCATATTTAATGTTCCTGTAGAACAAGTGAAAGGACAAATTTTGAAGCGATGTGGTAATGGAGAGGTGTGGGTAAGAGAACGATCCTAATAGGCAAAAAAGGAAAGATTGATTGTAATTTTTTTCTATTCTCTTCGTGTTTTCCCTCCATTCATCAGATCCTGTCACCTCTTTTCCCTATCTTTTTACCTTTTATTCCCTGACTCTTTACTTTTTTCTCCGTAGTTCTATTCTCCCTGACCTCTTTTGTCGTGTTCTCCCCCCTCCAAGTCGGATAATCTGTGCACTCTGGTGTTGTGCTCTGAAAGCAGTTAATCAAAACCTGAGACGTTTGTTATTGGGGTGGCAAAGGGTCACTGCTCTTTTGTGACTGCACGTGTGTGCATTTACCCTTCAGCACCAGTAATCGACAGAAACGCTATCTGAGAGACTTGCGCTGCGATCAATCCGGTTACGATTCAAGTCACACCTGTGCGTCTTGCTGCATGCGGTTCTGTTTGCCGCAATCTGCACAGTTTCCACTCAGTCCTTGGAGCTAGCTTGTTCATATTTCATGCTGACACACAACTTTTTGTTGTCAGCATGCTGAGGAAGAGATGTAGTGTGCTGTAAACGGAGAGCAGGTGGAATTGATCGCCACTACACTGTTGCATAGAAATATAGACAGCAACACTCAAAGCAGGAACATAATTGGGAGCTTCTTCATCGTTTTCTCTCTCTGTTTCACTCTCCAGGGCTGCTGTCCCACTCATGCACCAGAAATCAGTAACAGAGAGTGAAAGAGACTTACATGATGATCAAGAGATAAAAATTCTATAACCGTGCTAAAATATAGATATGCACTAAAAATAAAAGATAAATACAATCCCCTTTGGGGCATAGGAAGCAGAGACGGAGAAAGAAAATCTGTGGAATGATAGTGAAATAAGCAGAGCTATAGAGAGAGTTGGGCTTAAATTGTGCAAGTAAATGAGTTGGAGAATAAAAAAAAGATGGAAAGATTGCCTGCAGAGAGATGTGGAACTTAGTCACCAACGTGTGGATGGTCTGACAAATATTTAGCACTCAGGTGTTCAAAGCTCCCACTTGAACTCATCTCTGCAGCTTACTCAAGATGTTGCTCCTGTTAGATGGTACATTTGTCACTTGGGGTACAACAGGAGACAATACCAAACGTAACCGAGGTGGTTGCAGTCCCAATCTGTGAAATAAAGACAAAAATGCAATGACTTAAACTTGGTTGAACTCTACGACTCATCAGATCAAGAGCTACAAAACAAACTCTGATAAAACGGCGTTTACCAAACACATTTTGTTGTCTAAAGTTTATCCACCTAATGTCTAAATATGGTCCCAAGCTTGATATTTAAAATGTCTCTAAACAAGATATTACAAAATATTAAAAATTTTACTCGGATTTCCTTAGCTGAAAGTCATTGCCGTATTTATAAAACTACCATCCATCCATTATCTTTACCCGCTTATTCCATTTTGGGTCACGGGGGTCGCTGGTGCCCATGTCCAGCAATCACTGTGCGAGGGGCGGGGGACACCCTGGACAGGTCGCAAGTCCATCACAGGGACACATAGAGACAAATGAGACAAACAACCATTCACTCTCTCACTCACACCTAGGGACAATTTAGAGTTACCAATCAGTCTAACATGCATAATTTTGATCTGTGGGAGGAAACCGGAGTACCTGGAGAAAACCCACGCATGCACGAAGAGAACATGCAAACTCCACCCAGAAAGGCCCCTGGACCAGGGTTTGAACCAGGGACCTACTCGCTGAGAGTAGTCATTGCGCATTCTTATCCAAAGTCATTGCGCATTTTTATTTTGATTATTTATTAAAAATTCAATGAGAGGAGTCTGTGGAGTGGATGTTCCAGCCGCACTACGTGCACCAGCTAATGCACATGCTCCTGCCCAGCAGAGACACGGACTGCATGTCCTGTGGGGATGAAGTGTCTTCATCCACCTTCAGCTGTGCGCCCTGCAGACAGTGCATGTTTTACGCACAGGAGCATCTCCAGACAGCTTTACAGAGCGTGCACAACTGCTGATGTGTCGGAACTCCTGCATACATTTCAGACATAATAAATAAAAAAGCTTACAGTAAAAACAATAAAAAAAGTACGAGTGAAATGTTTAATGTGCATTATTCACATAACATCATGTATCAAAACAACAGCACTAATTAGTCAAAATAACAGCGATCAAAATGTTGAAAAGCCCGTCCAATTTATTATCAAAAATAAATGGATGGATGGATTGTCCTTAGCTGGACAACTGAGAATTGAAGCATCTGAAAGTGGTAATCAAGATTGGAGCAGGAGGAGCAACAATGCACAGGACTGAATTCAGCTGAGAAGAGTTCTGGTCGGACAGTGAAGTGTGTGTGTGTGGGGGGGGGGGGGGGGGGAGGATGCTTGACAGATTCAGAGCTGCTCTTTTCACACACATGCTTGTTGTTGTTGCTCTCCAAAATAGTAACTTCAGTTCAACCTTTATTTAAACAGGTTGTTAGTCTCATTGAACTTCCAGGACTCATTTACAACAGAGACCTGTTTTTAATCAATTGAATCAAATGTTTACAGAT